GGGGGGGGGGGGGAGGTCGGGGCGGAGAAAGTTAAATATCTTGTGTATAGTAATACTTTCATTACTTCAGGGCAGAAAATCAACAATCCCCTCCTGCTAGCACTGACAGCATAGATATACTTACATATATTTACATGCACATATACATACACACAATTTTTTCCCCCTGCCAAGACATTTGTGATACAAAACCAAAATATTTGTTAAGTTTCAGCTGTGGACTTGTACCCAGATGAAAATTTTCCTTTTAAAGCCAGTTTAATTTGAATTGTGCTTCCTTATTAGTTTTTACAATTCAAATGAAAACCAGCACACATCCTTCAGCCCAGTTTATTCTACAGGTGATGTAAAAAAAAAAAAACAACAACAAACCAAACTGTGACCTGTAGTTTCACTTGCACCAAGGAGAAATTTGTGTGGAATATATAATGAAAATGCAGATACAGAGATCACACTTCTTACCATGTCCCCAGGCTTGACAGAAAATGCCACCACTGCTCCAGGCATGGGAGATCTCAAAATGCTGGAGGTGTCCTCTGCTGCTTTCTCTGGCATGTACTTGCTCAGCTCTGCAGCAACCTTCGTCAGTATTCGTAATTTGTACTAAAGAATAGGAAGAGGAATGTTTTAGAAAACTGCACCTTGGTGAATTCCAGTCAATGATCTGCACTATTTTATGGCATGTTTTTATATAACACATCTGTTATCTATTCTTCACAGGAGTGTCTAAAAATCACTGTTTGAAATCTTTATTCAGAGTTTCATTTTCAGGATGTAGAAAGAAAAATATGCAACCCCAATCAGCAGCAATGAGCACATAAAATGAAAGAATCAAGTACAGTAAAGAAATGTCAGATTCATTTAAAAATTGGAGATAGAGAGGGAAGACACAAATTTAAAAACCAGAAATATCCTTACACTTACTGCACATTATCTTTAGTGGATACGGAATATTGAGGGACTGGTATTCAGCGCTCTGCTGAATTGGAAATTGACCTTTCTGGAAAATCTGCCAGATTTTCAACGACATGATTGATTTTAAACATTATGTTTACTTTATCATGTATTTAATGTTCAAAGTTAATCACTTGCTTAGATTTTGCAATTAAAACCTATTAAGCAATTTCAATATAATTTTTTCATGCACAGGCAGAATGATGGAACCTTTTGGTTGTACTGAATATACTTTATCTGTAATAAAAATTGTTCAGCAGCCGTTACCTACCTTGAGAATAAAAAAATGTTTTCTCTAGTATGTTTTATAGCAAGTAGAAATGGAAAAGACTATGATGACCCTCAAGTGTCTGAGAGCATCCCTTTAAACAAAAACCATTCCGAAAACATGTATGCGTGTACGCTAATTTCAGCTCCAGGCTTTTAGTTTCTTAAAACTTGTAATCACTTTGACACACAATTCATCGCACTTAGAAAGCTGGCCTTCACATTTGTCCCGGTGCACTTGAAAACTAATACAAAAAGCCAGTAGATGGCAGCAGGTCTCTGCCTGAAACTCCTGCCTCACCAGGGCCAACTGAGTGAAGACCAGCACCACACTTCATCAATAATTTAAACAAAGGTTTTAATAACAAGCACTGGATGAACTGCATTTACAATTCAAATGTGTATTTTGCTGATGTAAAGTTCAACACCTTGCTTTGAACAGTATGTTTTCCTCCAAAACAATTAGCTATTGTTTTATTAGCAATAAAATGTCTTTACTTTTCATTTTTACACAGACAGAAAAAATCCGATATCCTTATGGTTAAGGTAAAGGGGGACTCTACCTTCTGCTTCTGTAGGGAGTAAAACAAGGTATTTAGAAATGCATGCAAAAGGTGATTAACTCCGCAATGACATCTTTAAAAAGCAGCTTTCAAAGACAAATTAAAACAACCTAACAGAGGATTACCATCCACCATAAATGGCATTTGGACACACAAGATTATGTACAACGAACAGCGCAGCCGTTCAGTTCGAAATACTTGCTTCTAATCAGAAATACAAGCAAATGATTAAATGAACCGATCCCCCCGTACCACCCCAGTAAACGTAACAAAATGCCACAACAATATTTCCAGAAGCTGGAAGTGGCACCCAAAGATTTGAGAACCCATTCCCAAACACGTGCCTTGGTTACAATGGATATGGCACACAGAAACCAGCACCATTTTGTATGCAAAAAGCTCCTTTAACTCCAAGCCTCCTGCAGGCATCATCATGACAATTAAGACTGTGGCACTCACATTTTCCAAAGCAAAATACAGCTAGTTTTCTCCCTGCACAAGCAACTACATTCAATGCGGTCTGCTCCTTGCAGTTTCTTTTTCTAAAAGTAAAGCCTCTGTGTGTGTGTGTGTGCATGTAAGTGCACGTATGCACAGTTGCATGTACGATGTAGGGAGAAAGGAGGTGATGCCTATAGATTTGATGACATAAGTTGCAAATAGAATTGCAGCAGTGTGACAAGTCACATAATAACATCTTATGCATGTTTCTTTACTCTTGAGTGTCTGTTTTGCAATCAAGACATACAAGTGTCTGCCAGTTTCTGAAGGATATGATCCTTAAGTGAAATTACTGTGCAAATAAAAGCTTTTTACTCCTATTAAAATTCAACTGAGTCATAAGTGGCAAGGAAAAAAAGCTTGCAGAGTGTATTCTGCTGTCAATCTAATAAACATTCTGTGCAGAGGGACTATTTATCAAAGATAAATTGTACTTAAAAGTCCTTCATTAAATCTATGGGGGGGAATATAATTACACCAAATTGCACAGTTTCGGTATCCATGGTTAGTGTCTTCTTTGTACTCAGAGTTTGAAAATAGGAAGAAAAAAAAGGAAGAACACAGAAATAAGTTAGATTTGTGGACTGTATTGTTACCTCCTGCAAGAGACTCTTTTGATATGATTTCAAAAGATCAGGTTTAGATGCCATTTAGTTTTTTAAGGCACATGTAACGCTTCCAAGCTGCTCAATTTCAAAATTTAATCTTGCAGTGAAAGCTAGACCTTCTGCATTCATCTAGGTTACAGGATTTCGCAGAGACTGAGATACAGAATTCCCCATGCACTCCACAATGTACAGCAGCGGGGGAAAAACCATGTCGCTCAATATGCTGCACTTTAAAGCTCAGTTCTCCACACCAAGTTAAAATATCCCTACCAAACATTGTTTTTACTATCTTTATAATTTTCGTATCTTTTAGATTCCTTTCTCTGCAGGACTCCTGCTTTGCTTGGAGTGAGATGTAAGAATCAGTACACTCAAAGCTTTAAAACGCAGGTCTTTGTTATTGATGAGCTGTTCCTTTTCCTTTTGTATTTGTTTATTGTTCTTTAGTCTGTTTGGGGGATAAGCAAGTTACTATAATCAAAAAGTAAAAAATAACAACAGTAAACTTCTGGGGAAAGGCCTTTTTTGGCAGAGTCGGTTCACAAATGACCTTTCAGAATATAAAAAGACAAAGCTGCACAGAAAGGTTCCTTCTTTAAGATTACCTTTGATGTATTTCTGCTGCTGGCTGGACCCCACCAAATACCCGCCTAAGTGTCCCTTCGTAACGCTGGCTCTATCTCTCCAGGATGAGTTGTGCAGGGGTGTGCAGGGGGCTGTTCACCTAACCGAGGTGCAGCCTGCAGCTCAGCGAGAGCCACAAGACTCTAGAAGACCACAGCAAACAACGCCTGCCATGCCGCTACAACAAAGACAATTAAGAATACACCACATTTTTTCATTAAGTGATTAACACTGCTGCTATGTCTTTGATTTAGCGAGGACAACGCTGAACACAGGAAGCAGAAGTTTTGATACACTTCTAACGGAGTGCGGATGAGGTTCAGGTTTTCCTCCTTTATCCACAGGAGGAGGAGGCAATGGGAGAAAGAAGGGGCATAAATTGGGGAAGGCTGTAAAGTTTGGGTTATAAATAGAGACCAGAAGGTTTCCACTGGCCTAAACCAGAAGAAACATCTGTTGGAGTTATAAATAGATTGCGGGTGGACTCTCAGAGCAAGGAAATCTGCTAGCCATCAGATCTGTGCTGATGACTAGTTGTCACCAGCCACTGCTCCACTCCACAGGGTTTCAGAGCCTAATTCTGCCAGCCAAAGTAAGTCAATAAAGAGGTACCCAAAAGGAGCCGTACAGCTTTTGATGGCATAGAAAACAGGTGTTTCTTTTCCACAAGACTGCTGGAGTCCACAATCAGTTGGCAAAAATTATAGCAGGGAAAAGTGATGTTACTTAATAGTTTTCTAAGGGTAACAGTATCCTGTACTACTTCTCCCACTAAATGAAATGGATGTTATATAATGCTAAACTACCTCTTACAACCAAATCTCTGTGACAAAAAAGAAGAAAACAAAAAGGTGTAATAATAGCAGTGCAAAGGACTAAGGGGGGGTGGGGAAGAAAGCAAATACAGTGAAAATTATACCTCGGGTTTTGTGGAGGTTTTTTGTAGATATATATACCGTATTGATCCTCCAAGTCAGCAGACGAGAAGTCAGCCAGCTACTACAAAAAAGGTGTCCAGGGCACATCTGACCCCATCTTTGCTTAAAAACAACTCTGTAGTTTGCACAGATATCGTTCCCTTGCCGTGTACAACAAAATATTGTAGACCTTCAGTAAAATGCTCAAAATTGCACTCTGTTACATTCGCATTAGTTTATTAAATATGATCTCCCCTGTACACCTGAAAGTCATGTCCCCAGAAGCTGTAAATGTTCAAACTCCATTGGAGATTTTATAGAGCAATCTAATGTATCACCCATATGTTACTTATGGCAGCGTTTGGACTGCTGACCAGATGTGGATTTTCAGTATGCTTTACCTAAATGTTCAACCATGTTTTTCAAATGTCTGTCATTCTTATGGTCAGAAGGGGGAAAATCTTATGTTGCTCAGATTTCAGCAGAGAAACTGTCTGCTGTGCATCTTCATTATTTTCACTAACCTCACAGTCTCATTTTTGGAAGCAGTGAAATTTATTAACTGTGGTCACCTAATTTCCCTTTTAACATTCCTAACCCGCATCCTGCCTCAAGTCACTTAACTGTTGTCACTTACGGTTTGACTGTCATAGATTCACAAGTAGTACGTTATTCAGTATTCATTCAAAGCAATGCTAAGCAATGTTCCAAGTGCAGAACACAAGCACGCTGTCTTTTTTATTAACCATCATACATTTTAACATCGTGACCATACCCTTGCTTAGATTTCCACCATAGCATCTAAACAGGAAAATGATGTTATTATTCCATATTACTTGAAGGTGTCAGGCATCACCTTCTTTCGGAGTCAAAGATTTCTTACTCAACAAGGCGAAAAATGGCATTTTGGAAATCACAGAGGCTTTTATCAAAGCTCTGAGTTCTAGAGATAATTTACTTCCACAGGGTGGTGGTGAGGGCTGGCATTAACACTCGCACAAAATAACGGCACTTTTAGTCTAAAGGAGGAGCAAACACTCAACATGCTATGGAGACAGTTTTTAAAAAAAGGGAAAAATACGAAACAAACAGAACAGTCACAAAAATCATGAGCCTTTAGTAGCAGCAAAAGGGAGAGGAAAAAAAAAAAAAAAAAAAAGCCTCACCAC